CTTTCTACCAAAGACTAATCGAGTAACACGCAGTTAAATCAAGTCTTACACCGACTTACAATTAGAGAAATCCTGATTTACTATTTTTAATTCTCGCATTTAAATATACTTGTGTGGAAATCTCCATGAAAAGATGGGAAGGGCTCCCTAAAATCGTTCTCCAGGTGCAGTTAAAAAGACGCAAAAGTGAATTTTACGGAAGTGTCTGCAATTGTTTGCATATGTCGTTCACACTTTCATAAAAATCTGCTTTAATCGCTTATTGTTAAAGAGCATGCGATAAAGTTTATTAAAAAAATAAATAAAAAGCTTACAGCTGGCTACGGCGGACTATTAAATACCCTACACCACTTCGCTTAATAGCAGTTTCCCATATGACGACTTTTTAAAATAAGGCGTGGGAAGTGGTCGTTTGCAACTGCATTCAGCTTTGAGCCAGGCCAGGTCGTTGCATCAAATTTCAACGAGATATTTCAACAATTACGACCTGTAGTGTATGGGTTGAATACAAGCATACATGAACAGGCATCAAACGGGCAGATGGACGGACGGACAGACAAGCTCAAGTCGATTTTGAATCCATCGGTACAATAAAAGTTAAGTTTTCTGGGTGATAAATGTATTCACATAAGCTTGGATTAAAGGTGATCTGGGTTATAACAACTATTTCTTATAAAAGATTATTCTTTCTAATTAATATTATTGTTGTTCTTCTTCTTCTTTCATTTTTTTCTCCTTTCAGATGTCAATTTTCATTCGAATCCCACCTTTGAACCGATTTGCACCGCTCAGGAGGAGCATTTCATCGAGAGTGACGGCAAAGAATCTAGTCTTATAGTTGAATTTAATCGAGCTATTAATAGCAATCAATTAATGTTATGTACACGCATTTTAAGTGCTCCAGCGAATTATGGATTTATAATACGTTTGATTTTACCAAAAATACGACATAATCATCATAATCATAAACAATATCAAGAACAACAACAACAACAACAAAAACAACATAAACAATTAATTAATAATAATAATAATAATAATAATAATAATAATAATATTGGTAACGTAAATAAAGGGAATAATAATGGCCTTCACAATGATCTTGAAGGTAATACTGAGAGAAAATACGGAAAAGGTGATGGCGTAAGTGAAATGGCTGTTCTGATAGAGAATGTTTTCAATTCAAGTGCTTTATCGGAAAAAGCAAATCAAGCAACAACATTGTCGACAGAATTAGTGGGTCGTACTTGCCCCCTAAGTGTTGTAAGTAATTATCTTTTTTCTTTTTTATGTTCATTTCATAATAATTAGTGCGTGAGCGATTGCATACGCAATTAATGCTCCGCTCCGCACGCTTTTATGAGCAAACTTTTAAAATTAATAGAAAATTACTTAAACACGCACACAAACACATGCCCATTTTATTATGGTATAAAAAAAAAAAAAAATTTTTTTTATGATGTTTACTTGATTTTATTTCTAAAAATATTTGCATTTAAATATTAATATTATTAACGTGTTTTTAACTTAAGCAATAATTGTCAACAAGTAGTTTTTGTTTGCGTTTTTTTTTTTTTTTTTTTTTTTACATTTTTTATCAATAAATAAATAACTGAAGTTTATAGTTTTTTCTATAAATAAAACTTAAAAAGTCGCCAGACCACTGCGATTGTTCTGGTTTGATAATAAAATCACGAGTTAAGTGTTAAAAAAAAAAAAGAGAAGGAAAATAAGTAAAAAAACTGCTTTTAAATTATCGCACAGACACTTGTTGGCAAACAATATTGGCTGGTGCTGGTGCGAGTATAGCTGTGTGCAATTTTTTTTTTTTTTGAAATTTACTTTAAGGATGAATGCAATCTTTTTCAGATAATAATTCAGGTGAAGTCACCGACATAAACAATTTTTTTTTTTTAGTATAAACTACGAGAAAATATGAAAGCTAATTAGCCAAAGTGACAAGAGAAATTGTAACTCTTCGACTCCTTACATTAAAGTAGATTGCTTTTTATAGGCTTTGTCTTATTGCGCTAAGCGAATACCACATGAAAAATTTGCGAAATTCTATAGGTGGAAAAACAAAGAACGAAGGCAAGAAACTTCCTTGCTAACGTTATCGAGGTTGTGCAGTTAAAGAGCCTTGGATCTTGGAAAGGTGAAAATATCAACATTTCCAAAAGTTTCGAATTCTAGTCCGAGTACATATATTAGTTGAAATTTCTCCGCTTGTTGTGGAATCGTTCCGTGATCAATCGAAATTCGTTTCACGATCCACTACGTTGCTATCTCTGCTTTGCAAACTTGTTTGGATCGGTTGCGCGCGTTTTTGGCCATCATTCTTAAGAGGAAACAACAGTACGTGTTTTCTCGTCACAGCTTGTGCTATTTCAATCCGGTTTGGTCTTTCAGAACACAATAGTCAAAATAAAATTTTCAAATATTAAAAATATATATATATATATATATTATATATTAATATTATAATGTATATAATATATATGTATATATATATATATATATATAGATATGTCTAATTCTATAGCGAGGTCGTTTAGCCACAAAAAATCCGCTTGAGTAGCCGAGCAGACAAAGTAGCAACTCATTAGTCATGGGTTCATATCTCAAGTACGGTAGAGTTTTCACTAAAGCAGATAGCCTTAGATGCTAGTTCTTTAAGAACTTTCTTTAGTCTTAGAACGTATTTCTCAGGCTAAAGTAGTAATAATAAGTCACACGAACCGCAAACAAAAAATATTTTGTGACTTAGGATGTTGGTCAGAATGGGGCGGTAATAAGAACTTCGTGGCCGGCCAGGGCGAACGCATTGATTCAATCTTCTTTCATTTCAACTGCAACTTCAACTTTTGAGAGAATCCAACTTACGTTCAACTATTAAAACTATTTTATAATATATGTGTGCGACGGTACCTGACTACTAGTGAAGGTCAAAAAAAAAAAATAAAATAAAGACATGTCTGCAGCCTAACGAGACTACGAATAATTGGCGATTGTGTGGCCACAAATCATCTAATCCGAGCGATGAGAAATTCATATCGAAGCAAATCATAACCATCCGAAAGTTTATACCATTGTCTGCTTTAACTGATCAATTGTCTTTCTACTTTCATTGGTAGGAACTGCGACGAATATAGCCGTTTGCTAGAATTAGTTCTCTACGAGCTTATCTGAAATCCTTTTGATCATTTAACTTACAAAAAACAGAAAAAAGTCTCGCTACATAGACAAAAATATGTTTTCATAAGCATCTTATACGTGAATGTAGATGTGTAGTGTAAATATGCTGCATAAAAGCCGAAATTGTCCGCAATACGAATGCAATTTATGAGCGAAGTAACCCCTGTCGTGCGAATATTACTAACTATGTATGTATAGATCAAATAAATAAAAAATATGCGTTTCGAAAACATTTTTGTTTCTTCTTAGAGACCTATACAATGGATTGTTTTAGTCCGACCCTTATCCAAGTATAAATCTCTCTTTACAGAGTTTGAAAGGCTTACATTTTTATTCTAAGCGTTCCTCATACGTAAGAGGCATAATAGAAATTCCGAGTGACCCCTTTTGAATTCGAACCTTTCTTTTTTCCATTTGCAACCATTTTGGATTACCTTTCAAAAAGGCTACAACGTTCAAATTTTAGTGAATTCTTGACACTGTGATAAGGGAGATAGTATATGGTCTTGCTTGGTTGAAGCGTTGAAACTTCATTTTTATGGACCTGACTTTGAACCTGACAATTCTCGCCATTTATTCGTGCGACTCTTTTGTTCGTTTGGTGAAAATAAAAGCGTACATAAGTGTAAGCGATAGTAATAAAGACGAATCAGTTGAGTAGTTGCGAGAAACTCACACGAGGTAGAAAACATAGCAACACTGTATTGAATTAGTACGAAAAGGAGAAATTAATTATATTGCAACAGATAGATATTAATCGTAAATTGTCTACCATTTTTTAAGCTCTTTGTCTCTTCTTTTATTGTTTATTGTTTTTTTTTTTTGTTTTTTTTTCTTAAATTTATTGTTTAATTAATTAAAAATCTGAATCATATATGGATAGCGTGGGAAAGGAGGAGCCATTAACATTCTATAGACTATACGATTTATTTTATTGACTTGCACACAAACACACCTACAATATGTAAATAAATTTTTTTGATTTGTAGGAACTAATAGCATACATTTATAGAATTCATTTACATTTTTTTTCTATCTTCAAATATGTAAACATTTAGTTTTTGCATAGATATATATCTTCCTGATTGAGATGAGAGAATATGAAACTATTTTTGTTTATTATTTTAATATTGTTTATAACGATCGCATAATTTATCACACAAGCAATCAGCCGCGTTTGCATTCTTACACTATTTACTCGAGAAATACTCTTCGGTTAGTTGAAAAGTTCGCGGAGCTTTTGGAGCTGAAGGAGATTTTGATATTGTTCTCACCAGTAAAGTTTTAAAGTGATCTTTTAATGCCTACGTACAAAAACAGTAGAGTTACGCTTCAGTAATGTGTTTATGCCCATCATTGCAGAGAGCGGAGGGAGGGAAGAAGGGGGCGCGCGAACGTTATTTTTTTTTGAAACGTTTGCAACACCCAGAAAAAAACTTATAATGTATATATGTTCAAATTCGGAATCACTTGAATCCATGTAAACATGTCCACCTATTCTTCTGTCCGTCAGCATAGTGTCTATGGTAAATGTTCTACTAGTCGCAAAAATGAAAATATTCGCTTCACATTTGCCAAAAATATTGAAAGTTCTTCTTCTCATGCTCAGTAGCAAAATCCATCTATCCATCTGTCCACCTGTGGTAAGTATTTTGCTGGTGGTCAAAGTTCAGCTATTGGCTCTAAAATTATCAAAAGCACTGGACACGTTTTTGAGGTACATTGGATTAAACATGGTCCAAATTAATCAAAGGACATATAAACTGAGGACATCTCAGACTTTTAAGATATTCGCCTATTTGGCTTACTTTTAGTTTAAAGCACATATAGCTATAAAAACTTTTTTGTATATCATGTAAGTGATTCTACAGCATCAGTCCCACTCAAACCCCTGGTAATGTTATAAAAAAATCCAAAACTTATTTTCTCCTTTTATATATTTTTATTTTTTAATTTTCTTCAAAGATAAATTTATCAGGTATAAAGGAAGAAAAAGAAACCAAAATAGATTTCTTAATTATTTAAAACAGAAAATGTTGAAAATGCTTTCTAGAAAAGGGTTTAAGTTTCAGAAAAATGAGAATTCACAGTTATAGTGCAAATGTATTCAATATGATGATTTTTTATTTATTTACTTGCCTGCACATCAAATATTCAGTATACAAATGTATTAACATTCGATTTCGATTGATTTTAAAAAATATTTCGCATGCTAAATATTATGATTCAACTGTTATAAAGCATCTAAGGAAAATGAAAGAAAAAAGATGAACAAAAATAAACAGAACAAAATTTATGTATAAATAAACAAGAAAAAAGAATTTAAAAGGCCTATAGTGGATCGCGAGCCAAGATTAAACACCCTACACCGCTCGACAGTTATGCATACGCCGACTCTTCAAAATGAAGCATTATATGGGATACGGTCGAAAATGTGATACGATATGAACTAATTTCAACAGTATTCGCTACATCAGTGTAGCAAGCTTCATTATAAAAATTGCGGCCCAAAAATTGAACACAAGAAAGCAAAACAAACAAAAGGACGGACGGACGGACGGCCATGCTCAGGAGGTGATTTTGAACCGATGGCCATAATGGAAAGTAGGCATATCTTAAGTCCATGTGGGTGTTCCGCAAGCCTTGTACCAATGACTAGAGTGGGATATAAAATGCGTACACATATCTAGCAGAGAGGCAAGCCGGCAACTGGCCTCGATTCGATTTAGGAGTGCAATTATAAATGTGCAAAAGCTTGGGCAATCTGTAATAGTGAACATATTCAGTTCACTATGCGGCTCCTATGGTGTAGGGAAAGTTCTCGTGTTAAACAGAGCGGACTTGACCGAATTTAAAGAATTCGATATTGAGATAAAATGATTATAAATATCATTGAAAAGCTGGTAATTATATCTGCGTTGGCTGAGTTTTAGGAAGATAGAGTTCCTACGATATGGATGCTGCGAGCTCTGAATTCTGATCAAGAACCGCTTTAAAGAAATCTCTTTAACAAATATTTAGGATTTTTATTGAGTGGAAAGTACAAAATAAACTTTTATTCGCTGAAG